TAGAGCTGGTGGTGTGAGTGGAACATGTGACCCAGCTGTGTGCTGAAGGGCAACCAAGGTGGGGGCAGGTGTGACCCCAGGACCCTGACGCCAGCAGTGACTCAGGGAAAGGGCTCGCCCCAGGGGGTCAGGGCCTGGGCTTGGCCAGGAGGGCGGAGCTTTATAACCCTGGGTGCAGGCTCTTGGTGTGTGTGGGGAGCACTGAGAATGAGCCCGGCCGGGGCTTCCAGACCCAGGAGTCCATGGCTGTGGTGAGGGGGCATTGGCACAGCCCCTCTGTGTATGGACGAACCGCACCCATCAAGGCACACCCGCTGTGGAGCCCACTGACCCCGGCCTCCTGGCCTCCCTGCCACCATTCTGGGGGGCAGGAGAGCTGGGGTGGGGTGAGTGCAGGCAGGAGGCCTGGTTCTACCCCCAGCACTGCAGGATCCCCGGGATGCTATGGGGTCACAGTCAAGTTGAATGTGACCCCAAAACCAAACCTAACCCTATTTTTTTAATAATATTTTATTTTTATAAGGTTGTTCACAATAGTTCATTGCAGACGATATTCAAACACCAATCCCAACACCGTGCTGTTTCCTATCACCATAAGAGGAAAGTGTGTGAAGATTGTTGGAGCCATTTGTATAAGAGATTACAAACTGTAGCACTATCCTCCCGTTGTTCATCGATTTGCTCAAGCAGGCAGCAGTAATGTCTCACAACAAATTGTTAGACTTGTTGTTACTGTTTTTGGCATATCAAAACATCACGGGTAGCTTGCCAGGCTTTGCCGTGCGAGCAAGATACTCTCAGTAGCTTGCCGGACTCTCCGAGAGGGGCGGAGGAATCGAACCTGGGTCGGCTGCATGCAAGGCAAACGTCTTACCCACTGTGCTATGGCTCCAGCCTGAGAGATTACAAACATGTATGCTAAACCCAAACAAATGTGTGCTACTTTTGCTACATCAGTGGGCTACAGTTTAAGAGGTCGTGCGGCCGCATTTTGGGTCATTCTCTTCCGGGAGCTTTAGTTTATAGTCTCTGGATATTGGCCATTAATGAGATTATATGGCGTTGGGGGCAGTTTGTGGGTGTGACTGCCAAGCCTTTGGAAAACTGGGGAGCTGGGGGGAGGAGGCCCTGTCTCGTCTCATTCTGAGCAAGCTTAGAGATCTCAGTCATTGGTCCTGCATACCTGTCAACCCTCACTGTTTCAGCAGGGTCTGGGGCACCCGGGGCCGGACCAATAGTGCAGCGGGGAAGGCGTTGGCCTTGCACGCAGCCGACCCGTGTTCAAGCCCCCATACATGGCCAGGAGTAGTCCCTGAGTATTGCCGGGTGTGACCCAAAAAGCCAAAAAAAAAAAAGTGTGTGTGTGGGAAGCACCTCCTTCGGCCATACGGCACTATTCCACCCTTTCCTGATTTCGAACTTCCTATGCAGATTCGATGCAGCATGTATTTTGGGGGGTGGGGACTGGGCCACACCGGTGATGCTGGGGGCTCATATGTGCCGGGGATGAAATTAGGACTGGCCACACGCTTCACCCTCTGCACATCCTCTCTGTGCCAGCAGGCTCTGCCGGAGCTGGTTGTTGAACAGATCACATGTGCTTCCCCTTCTGCCCTGGATGGAGCTGGCTGGTCTCCTCAGCATCCTAGTAGTTTTTCCCAGGCCGGATGAGCAGGCAGGGTACTTAAACGAAAGCCCTAGTTTCCTTGCCTCTGTGAAAGGATTGGTTTCGGCTGGGGGTAAGAGCATGTGCTCCTTATTGTGAACGAGGCCCTGGTACCACCACATAGCAATTCCTTTAACTGACTGACATAAGGATGTGGTTGAACTCCTTTATGAAATCAAGACCTATCCCAAAGGAAGGGGTCCTGTCACACAAGTTTGGAGATTTAGAATGTCAAAAGGTGATGGCTGTGGGGTTGGAGAGATACTCCAGTGGGTAGGGCGCTTGCCTGGGCGTGCAGCAGACCTGGGTTCAATCCTTGACAGTCCATTTGGTTTTCCTGGGCACTGCCAGGAGTGATTCCTGAGTGCAGAGCCAGCAGTAACTGCCGGGCATCACCAGGTGTGGCCCCCAAAGAAAACAATAAAAGGTGAGGGCTTTGAACATTGCTTTGAGTTTCAATTTGGGCTTACCGGTGAACTGTGAGCATCTTCTTGGTGACTTTCCTATGGTGTGCTCTTAAGCACGTTTCTAATCTTACTTTTTTTTTTTTTTTGCTTTTTGGGTCACACCCGGCGATGCACAGGGATTACTCCTGGCTCTTCACTCAGGAATTACTCCTGGCAGTGCTTGTGGGACAATATGGGATGCTGGGAATCGAATGAGGGTCGGCCGCGTGCAAGGCAAACGCCCTCCCTGCTGTGCTATCGCTCCAGCCCCTAGTCTTACTCTTAGGTGAGATGCAGCCAGGTATTAGTGAATTCATAAACCCTATCTCCTGCATTCTCCACTGCACCTCCACCCAGCAGGGTCAAACTCAGGGGTGTAATCACCTTAGTTCCTATTGCCCCCCCACCCCCCCCAGTTTTGGAAGGGGTCTGTGCCACAACTTCCCTGCATCCCCGCACCATCAGCTGTGCCCACCCGTCTCTGTCTCCAACACGTGGGCAGCTCTGTGATGGCCCCGCTGTGGTTCAGCTCGGCTCAGCTCTGCAGGCAAGTACTTTCCCCCCTCACTGGTCTCTGCAGTTCCATACTCTGGGCCCCCTTCACTCCCCCCACCCCCAGCTCTCTCTCCAGTGATTTTATTTTTCAAACATATGCCCAGGGCCGTATCACGTCTTTCCTTAGTGCCTCGTCCCCAGAGCTCAGAAGAATGAATTCTGAAATGACCACGCTGAGACTTAGAGCCAGAATCCTGAGGGTGCAGGTGTGTGCATGTCTCTGGGCATCTGTCAGACCACGACTGCCTCCCAGGTTCACTGGAGGGCCGGGTTGGGGGGCACCTGTGGAGCTCCTTCCCACCCGAAGATCTGTTCAGCCTGCAAGCTCAGTCTGCCTCTGCAGTCCCCGTGACTGGCTCCTCCATTGGCTCAGCAAACCTCAATCTCAACCCTCCGTGGGCAGAATTTCCCCAATCACCCTGGGGTTGGCGAAAGTCAGAAGTTTGGACAGAAGCAAGCCAAGCACTATGGGATGTGATGCTTACATGACCCTCCCCCCACCGCAGCCAAGGAACACACTATTCCTCTTTCTTTCTTTCTTTCTTTCTTTCTTTCTTTTTTTTTCTTTCTTTCTCTCTTTGCTTTTATTTTTAAATTTTGTTTATTTATTTAATTTTTATTAGTGAAACACCAATAGGTACAGTTGTAGACTTACAAATTTTTGTGCTTCGGTTTCAATTATACAATGTTCGAGTACCCATCCCTCCACCAGTGCCCATTTTCCACCACCACTGATCCCAATATCCCTCCCACCCCTCAACTCCCTCATCCCACCCTGCCTCTGTAGCAGGGCACTCCCTTTTGTTCTCTCTCTCCTTTTGGGTGCCGTGGTTTGCAAAAGCGGCATTGAGTGGCAATCATGTTCGGTCTATAGTCTACTTTGAGCATGCTTCTCCCATCCTGGGCAGATCTTTCTTTGCTTTTTGAGTCATAACCAGTGATGCTCAGGGGTTACTCCTGGCTCATGCACTCAGGAATTACTCCTGGTGGTGTTCGGGAGACCCTACGGGATGCTGGGGATTGAACCTGGGTCGGCAGCATGCAAGGCAAATCACACCCTCCCCCCCGCTCCCCAGCACTGTGCTATTGCTCCTTCCCACGTGCCGTTCTTTACTTTCTAGTGTAAAGATGATACAATCCGTGATTCTCTCCGTGTGAAAATGGAGTCTCTCTGGTAGGGCTGTTTAGACTCATTCCTTTTCCTTCCCTCCTGGGCCAGCCGGGGTCGGTGCCCGCTGGCCATGGCATACGTCACTTCCAACGAGCATACTCTAGGTTGTGCTCCCCCGAGCCTGCACCCCGATTTCCCAGCTAAATTTCATGTTATGCATGTGGAGTCACGGGGGATCACTCGGGGTGTTCTCGGCCCTCCCGAGCAGGCTCGTCTGCCACTGGGCCAAGCCCAGCCCACGCTCTGGAAAGTCTCTCTTCTCATGCTTTATTTTATTTGCAGTTCTGTGATTTACATTACCATTAGTGATAGCTAGGGTTTCGGGCATACAACATTCCAATGCCACACCCTCGCCGGACTGTCTGCTTTCCTCCACCAGAAAATTCTATTCTTTGGCTTTTTGGGACACACCCAGTGGTGTTCAGGGGTTACTCCTGGCTCTGCTCTCAAGGCATTACTCCTGGCAGTGCTCGGGGGACCATATGGGATGCTGGGAATTGAACCCGGGTTGGCCACACGCAAGGCAAACTCCCTTCCCGCTGTACTATTGCTCCAGCCCCTCCACCAGAAAACTTTTTTTTTTCTTTTGGGGGTCATACCCAGCAATGCTCAGGGGTTACTCCTGGCTCTGTACTCAGGAATTACTCCTGGAAGTGCTTGGGGGACTACATGGGATGCCAGGGATTAAAGCCAAGGTCAGCCGTGTGTGAGGCAAACGCCCTACCTGCTGTACTTCCACTCCAGCCCCCTCCACCAGAGAGTTTTGGGGCTGCAGCTGGTGGTACCTAGGGTTACTCTCAGCTCTGTGCTTGGGAACCATGTGATGCTGGGGACTGGACCAGGGGCAGACAATGCAAGGTAAGCAGCATTATCTGTTTTACCTCTCTGCACCACCCTCCTCAGAGAACTGTTATTACTACATCATCAGTTCCGAGAAAAGCACAATACAGTCAGGTACTGTGTATTTATTTGTGTTCCAGACACGAATCTGTCGGTAAGAATACACGCATTAAATGTATCCTTCCCCCAAATCTAAGAGTTTGCATTCTGGGTCTCTAAGAATAATGGAAGAAAGAACACAACTGCTCTTTAGAGCACTTGCAAATGTTCTCTGGATGGATTTGTTTTTACTGATAGTCATCTTTTAAAAAGGTATGCTACATAGTTATGCAGTATTTTTATTTAACTTAGCCATAATTATTATGTCAAAACAGAAAGCAAAATGTTTGGTGTTACATAGAATTTAGTGTTTGGCATATGTGTCCTTGGCTGCAAGAAAGAACATTTGGTTTACTTCACTGATGGGAATATCTCTCAGGGCTGGGATGGCCTCTTCCTGGTATTTCTTCTGCTGTTGATTTGCAGCATAGTTATCTGTCAGAAAAGAACAAGAAACTGATGACCCAAGCTGTTTCTTCTATCTTCTCTGTGGTTTATGGAGACCCACCATGTAGTTTTACTATGATAATGTTTGGAATAACAACAAATGCCATATTTAACAAAATTACAAGACAACTCAGATTCTTTCTTTAGAAGAGATTCATCAAGTAAAATGAAAAGCAGTACTTTTTGTGCCTCTAACTTGGAAAAAATGGTAATATTTCACTCTACCATATAATGAAGATTACAGTTTCATAGGGGCAGAATCATACCTAGGTTTACAAGATGTATTTAAACCAGGATGGCAAAGCTATTTAATTATTTGGTATAATCACTCACACAAACCTAACCTCTCCTTTTTGTAAAAACTGGTTTTTTCAATTTAGTTAAGAACATTAAAAGAAATATAAAAAAATACTATACGGTCAGAGAGAGCAAGTACAGGGGTTAAGGTACGCACCTTCCTTTGTTTGTTTTTGGGCCACAGCTGGTGATGCTCAGGGCTTACTCCTGGCTCTGAAGTCAGGGCCACCACTCGTGGTGGGCTTGGGGGACCATATGGGATGCTGGGAATTGAACCTGGGTGAGCCACGTGCAAGGAAAACGCCCTCTCTGCTGAAGGCATTTGACTTGCGTGCAGCTGACTCTGGACTGAGTATGACTGGACTGAGTATGACTCCCCAAGCCCCACCAGGAGGGACCCCTGAGCACAGAGCAGTAGGAAGCCCTGAGCACTGCTGAACATGGCCCGACCCCCACCCCCGCCCTCTAATAAACACTATGGCTGATTTTCAAAAGGCTCAGGGGGAAAAAAAAAAGAGAAAAAGTAAAAAGCAAACAAACACCAGAGAACTTGAAATACATACATCACTTCCCAGAATCCAAGTAAGTTCAAAAATCTGATTTTAGGTCTCTGGGTCTTTTTTTCTGTTTTTTTGGGTGGGGGGGCAAACCTGGTAATGCTCAGGGTTTACTTCTGACAGTGCCCAGGGGACCATGTGGAGTGCTGGGGATTGAACCTGGGGCGCTGTGTACAAGGTAAGCACTCTATTCACTGTGCTATCCCTCTGGCTCCTTTAACTTCTAAAATAAAAGAACTAAAAACAAACAAAAATCCTATCCTACAGGGCTGGAAAGACAGCCCAGGGTTAAGGCCCTTGTCTTACATGACCACAATCCTGATTCAACCCCAGGCACTACTTTGGGTCCCCCAGAGCACTGCCAGGAGCGACCCTTGAGCAGAGAGTAAGGTGCAGCCTCTGAGCACTGCCGGATGTGGCCCAAAGCCGCAACCTAATCACCACCGCCCAAAAAAAAGCCCAAAGGAAAACTCCATAAACATGTTCTGGCTTTCCTGCACACAGGGTGGGGATTGCGTACACTGTTCACCCTCAGGACAGGTCCCAGTCCCTCCTGATGAATGACTACCACCTGGGTCTACCTGTCATCTGTTTATTCTGATTCGTTGGTTGGGGGTGAGAGGGCGGCGCCAACACCTGGCAGCGCTCAGGCTCTATACCCATAGGTCACCCCTGGCAGTGCCTGGGGAACCAGGAGATGCAGGGATGGAACCCAGGCCTGCCTCATGCAGATCACGTGTTCCAAATCCCAGCGACCAAGAGCTTCCACAAGCAAGGCCCAGGTATGCGGGTTCAGGACTAAATCTCCAGGCTGCATGGTGGCAGAGGCACCGGGCTATCCCTCCCGGGCTCTCCATCCGCTCCACAGCCTGGTTATCATGCCCACAAGCTTCCTCCGGGCACCATCTTGGTGCACCAACAGCCCCGTTCCAGAGACGCCCAATTGAATCCCCAAATGGATTAGTGCCCTACAGAGATGTCTCTAGAACCCAACCATCTACAATCTAGGATCCCAGAAGCATGTGGCCGCTTTGTGGCCGTGTAAATTCTCATGATATTCAAAATGAGCAATGAAAGATAAATTATCTAGCATCTGCCCCTGGCAAGCAGGCTTGAATGGTGGTGGGAAAATTTGGGCAAAACATAATGCCCAAAAAGTAGAGAGAGAGAGTATTGGGGGAAATTGTCTGCCATGGAGGCAGGGTAAGGAATGGGATGGAGTGGGGGTGTTGAGGGTATACTGGAGACACTGGTGATGGAAAATGTGTACCGGTGGAGGGATGGGTGTTTGATCATTGTATGGCTGAATCCCAAACATGAAAGCTTTGTAACTGTATCTCACGGTGATTCAATAAAACTGAAAAAAAAAAAAATCCATGTGCTCCATGCTGAACCATCTCTCCAGTCCTACTTGCTATTCTTGATCAGCATTGTCTGGGTGGGATTATAGGAATTTCTCTCGGCCAAGTGGCTCTGGAATGAATTACAGAGCCGCGACTGTATGGAAAACACATTCAGTGAACTCAGGGCTCTCCGCCACATCTTCCTTCCTTCCACTGGCCAACTTTTTCTCTTGTATCACTGTGTTCAAACGTGCCTGAGTTTCTGTGTGCCTAGTCTTAGCTGACATTTTAACAGTGGTACAAAGCGGGCTAGAGTGACAGTATAGTACGTAGGGCACTGGCCTTGCCACCGGTCAAGCTGGGCTCGATCCCCGGCACTCCTGAGCCCACCAGGAATAATACCTGAGTGCAGGCCCAGGAGGAAGCTCTGAGCACTGCCAGGTGTGGGCCCCACACGAAAACAAAAAAAGGAAGTGCTAATACTTGGTCCCTCCAATCCCCCAGCTCTTTTTCCTTTGTAAAACATTTACCTGTGATTGTGTGGATGGAGTTCAGCGGAGAGGTGCTCATCATGTTTATTCCAAATAAGAGAACGTAGCCGACTACTACAGTGATGAGGAGGTAGATCGGCAGAGCAACTGCCCAGTACCTGTGGGAGAGAACAGTCAAGGAACGGGATATTCTGAAGAGTTGGTGTTCTCAGCCCATCACGAAGACAACACACTCTAACTTTTAAAATTAAACTACAAGGGCTAGAGCGATAGCACAGTGGGTAAGGCATTTGCCTTGCATACGGCCAACCCGGGTTCGATTCCCAGCATCCCATATGGTCTCCTGAGCACCTCCAGGAGTAACTCCTGAGTGCAGAGCCAGGAGTAACCCTTGAGCATTGCTGGGTGTGACCCCCCCCCAAAAAAAAGCAAACAAACAAACGAAATTAAACCACTGGGGCTGGACAGAGAGTCCAGCAGGTGAGGTGCTTGTTTGGCACATGACAGACTCCCAGTTCAATCCCTGGCACCCCATATAAGGTTGCCTCAGCTTCACCAGGAGAGATACCTGAGCACGGAGCCAGGAGTCAGCCCTGAGCACAGTTGGGTATGGGCTCCAAATTTAAAAAAATGTTTTATTCATGACATCCCACAGCCCACCCCCACTGACCCCAGTGTCTTGCTCCCCCCAAGGACATGGTCGGCCAGAGTGGGTTTTCCTGGTATTCATTCACTTCTGCCTCTCTCTGCACAGTACTTGGTCTTTTTTCAGTTTCAGGAATTTCCTCTGAACTTCCTAATGTGGCGTCGGAATTCCCTCATCCCCCATTCTCTCACCTCCTTCCTGTCCTCTTTCCATGGTCACATCAGCAGTTTGTATTTCATTTATTTATTTTGGGTCAGTAGATGGTGTTCAGGGAGCATTCCCCTGGTGGTGTTTGGGGGTGACATGGGAGAATGGTTTTGTTCCCAGGAGTGCTCAGAGGACCACATGGTGCCAGGGATGAATGCAGGCCTTCTGGGTGCAAGCAGGCAGTCGGCCATCTGAGCTGTCTCTGGGCATATACCAGCAGCAGGAAGATTTTTTTTTTGGGGGGGGGACATACCCAGAACTGCTTAGGGATCATTCTTGGGGACCACATGCAGTATTAGGATTGAACTAGGGTTAGCCACACACAGATAAGTGCCTTGTCCTCTGGACTATCATTTTGGCTCCACATACCAGTAGTTTTAAAAATGATTGTAGGGCTGGAGTGATAGCACTGCAGGTAGGGCATTTGCCTTGCATGCAGCCGATCTGGGTTCGATTCCCAGCCCCCGAGCACCGCCAGGAGTAATTCCTGAATGCATGAGCCAGGAGTAACCCCTATGCATTGCTGGATGTGACCACCAAAAAATGATTATAATAACTATAATCAGCAACTGAGCACTTGCACCAGATGGTTTCCTGAGCACTACTGGGTGTGGGGTTGGTGGCCTGAGTACCCCTGGGGTTGCCCAGCTAATCCCCGACACTAGCAGAGCAGCGCTGAATCCTCAGGCCCCTGCATTAAACTTTGGCCTCATTGGCCAAGAATCTCTGGGAAGGACCTTGGCTTTCCTGAGTGCAGCTGGCGAGGTCCGAACCTCGCAACCCCAACCCTCGCCTGCCAAATAACAAAGGACTCCAAGGCTCACACACCCCATCTTTAACTAGCAGTGTAGCAGAAAAAAACAACTTTTAATAATTAAAATAAGTTTTTAAAAATTTATGGTACTGATGTACTAGTTATTGCACCCCAATACCACCCAAGTGCCAGGACCCTTCACTCCATAGTGTCATCTCAGGTCTGATTCATCCCCCCCCACACCCCCTCTCAGTTATCCCCTCCTCAATAAAGACTTTAAAAAAAATCTTTAATTCTTATATGGTTATCTATGGATCTTAAAATAACATATGTAAGATTTGCAGCAGTAAAAAAAAAAATGGGGGGCCGTATCCAGTGATGCCCAGGGGTTACTCCTGGCTCTGCACTCAGGAATTACTCCTGGCAGTGCTTGGTGGACCATATGGGATGCTGCGTATTGAACCTGGGTTGACTGCATGCAAGGAAAATACCCTACCTACTGTTCTATCACTCTGGCCCCAAGATTTGCATATTATTATGAAAAAAAATCTATTCGATAAGATAACTAAAAGATTCCTATTTAATATATCATGGTGACCGAGAAATAGTACAGCAGGTAGGGTGCTGGCCTTGCATGCTGCTGACCTGGGTTCAATACCTGGTCTCTCATATGGGTGCCCTGAGCCCATCAGGAATGATTCCTGAGTGCAGAGCCAGGAGTAACTCCTGAGCAACTGCCAGGTGTGGTCCCCCACAAAAAAGACCCCCACCAAAAACAGAACAAAGATATATCACACTTACTTTTGAGGCCAGTAGGTGAGGCCTAAGGAGTTTAGCCAAGATTCAGGAACAAACGCCCACACGAGATACAGTACTGAGGAGGAGAAAAATGCGAAAGTCATTGAGGCCTGCTCCTTATCTCTCAAGGTTTGGATACAAATGAAGGGGCCTCTGCATCTTCTCTGATTCCCAGCCCCCCTTCAGTTCTCCCGGCTCCTTTTTTCATTCTTGCAATACTTACACAATTACCTCATATTAGTCATTTTTCCAAAAAATCGTGGCAAAGGAATGTAACATGAGGGCTGGAGAGGTAGCTCAAAGGGCTGGGGTTCATATTTCACAAGCCAGAGGGCCGGATTTGATACCCGGCACTGCATGGCGCCCCCCGGGTCCTCTGGGAATCCGCCGGATGGAAAGGCAAATTTCTGCAATCGTTTTGGAAGTGGCATGGAACTGTCTCGAGAAGCTAATTGACGAAGGTTCTAGCAATTCTACTTCTGGGGTATCTATCTGAAGAATACAAAATGTTAACCCACAAAGTTTTATCTGAGCCTAGAGAGAGAACAGGCGTGCAGAAGCATGCCTTGTTTGCCGTTCGATCCCAGGGCCCCAGAGGGTCCCCAGCATTGCTGCTGTGGCCTAGAGGCCCCTCTCACCCAGCACCAGTGGCCCAGGGAACCCCTGGCACCACGGACGGTTACAGTCGGAGTCACACTGCATCCTATCACCTTCACATGGAACCAATGAGCTGGCTGGTGGAGAATCACTGGGAGGTACCCCCCCCCCCCGAAAAAAAAAATGAAGTGTAACATTCACCTCAATGTTTATTACAACATTACTTAGAATAGTTAAAACAACAACAACAACAAAAAAAAACAACCAAAGTGCCAACGAATTGATGACGGAATAAAGAGGTGGTATTTATACAACGGACTACAATTTGGGTGTAAAATTAGGAAATGTTTGCCTTTGCAGTAACATGAGGCTCCAAGAGCTGTGTGTGTGTGTGTGTGTGTGTGTGTGTGTGTGGAGGCCCAAATGTGATCCCTGGGCACTGCCACTGAGTACCCTTGGTGGCCTAAGCACTGCCCGTCCTAAGCACGAACCCTCCCGTTGGCACAGCGGCACAGTTGCACACAGCAGTGCCAGGAGTGGCCCCAGACACCAGAGCACTGCTTGGGAGCTCTCCCTGACTCCTGCAACCAAGAAACAGAAAATACGGTGAGCGCTGGGGAGAGAGGTCGGGGGTAGGCGATCTGCATCCTCAGGCCCAGCACAGATGGCGGAAGAGCACAAGAGCTAATCTGAAACGTGGGAGAGGGGCCGGAGCGATAGCACAACAGTTAGCTCATTTGCCTTGCATGTGGCGAACCCGGGTTCGATCCCTGGCATGCCACAGGGTTCCCCAGCACTGCCAGGAGTAATTCCTGAGTGCAGAACCAGGAGAAACCCCTGAGCATTGCTGGGTGTGACCCAAAAAGCAAAAAAAAAAAAAAGAAAGAAAGAAACGTGGGAGAGTCTCTTGCACCCCTCACCAGGAGGCCCCAGCCAGTGGGGCTACCAGGGTGGCCATGGCGGGTATGGGCCACTTTGCGGTTCTCAACTAGCGCCTCATGCTTGCCAGACAAATGCCTTATGCCACGGAGCCATCTCCGAGGTCCCCCGAGGAATGAAATCAAGTAATGGGGAAAACCAGAAGCAGATACGACTTAGCTCAGTTTCGATAAGATGACGAGCATTCATGGAGACTGTACGAGATGCCAGGTGCTGTGCAATGGCATGGACTATGAAGGGAAAGAACAAACAGCCCAACCAGAAGGGCCCACACTAGCGCAGGGGTTCGAAATAAGCCAACGTGTCACAGGAACTTCACGTGTATTGTCTTATTTCCTCCTGTGTGGGGCTGTTCTTAGCCCAGATTTACAGACATGAAAAATAAATAGCTCAGGAAACTGAGGCACCAGGCTCCCGTCAGTGTTCATAGATGCTTCCAGGCAAGGAGGAGACAGGGTGGGGAGGATCCCCGGGAGCCCTTGGCGGTTGCCAGTGGCTGGAGCACAAAGCTGTGAGTCAAGAAGCGTGGCAGGAAACAAGGAACAAGTCCCCGGCCATGCAGAATCTTGCCCCGGCACAGCCACTGTGCTTTGGGCAGTCCGACGCCTGGCCACGTTCTGCCCTGGAGAGACTGCACAGTCTGAGGGGAAGCACCGGCCCCACCCCAAGCAGGAGCGACATTCAGGCTCCATTGTGAGGACTTGTGTGCAGAAGCACAGCGGCGGGGAAACGCTCCTGGGGGCTCAGGCTTTGAGTGACACTGAGTGGAAGGCCAGGTGTTCCATCCCCGTGCCCGCCGCATGGGCCAAATGCAAACCGGGTGGCTCTGCTGTCAGCGATCCCCAGGGAGGTGAGGGGTTTCGGCTACACCACTACCGGGTATGTGTGAGCACAAGTACCAGGGCCTGACTGCCCCACTGAGCACCACGGGAAGACAGACAGGCCCCGTGGGCAGGGTGCGGCATTCCTGGCGAGCTGTGTGCGAGCACTCGGGCTACCCTTTGGGAGCACTACAGAACATGCAAGAGTACCACGAAAGGGCAGCACACATGCCAGCACCATCAGCAGCATGCAGGCCTCCTCAAGCCCTGTTCCGCTGATGCTGAACTAGTTCATCTATGTTCGGTTTGGGGGCCACACCTAGTGGTGCTCAGGGAGCACACCTGGCAGGGCTCAGGGGCTGTATGGGATGCCGGGGATGGAACCTGAACGGGCTGTGTGCAAGGCAAGTGCCCTGCCTGCTGTACTATCTCTAGGGCCCAACGCTGAACTAGTCATGAGTATTATTGAAGTTTTCAAGTTACTTTTACCTGTAGTTTTTAAACCTTCAACTACTCTATGGAACAGAAATAGGGGCCGGAGCAATAGCACAGCGGGTAGGGAGTTTGCCTTGCACGCAGCCGACCTAGGTTCAATTCCCAGTATCCCAGATGGTCCCCCGAGCACGGCCAGGAGTAATTCCTGAGTGCATGAACCAGGACTAACTCCTGTGCATGGCCGGGTGTGACCCAAAAAGCAAAAAAAAAAAAAAAAAAAAAAAAAAAAATAGATGTGTACTTTGTTTGTTCGTTTTGGGGCCATAGCCTGAAGTGCTCAGAACTTACTCCTGGCTCTGTGCTCAGAGATCATTCCTGGTGGGTTCAGGGGACCATATGTGGTGCTCGGGATGGAGCCTGGTTCCCGCTGCACTGTATCGCGGTCCGGTGCATGGGATCGATCAGACAGCAGCCATTCTGCACAAGCACTCCTTGTTTCTATGCAGTTTTGCAGGCCTTGCCCGAATCGTGGCAATTAATTCTCATACCAGCAGAAAGAGGCCGTGGAGTAAAGTGAACAAAGCGAACAGTGTCTGGTTGGCTGCAGATTCCAGCTCTATCATTTCTGTCTGTGTGATCTGGCTACTCTAACCTAGCGAGCCTCAGTATTCTCATCTGTAAAATCAGGGTAATACTGGTATTAATACTGTGTGGACAGGGGAGGGAGCAGAGGGCAATATTAAAAAAAAATTATTAATACCTACTTTGCAAGAAGATCCTGTGCATGACAAACACTGGTAAACATCACCACTCATTTCTTTGTGTACGTGTGTGTGTGGCAGGGGAGGCCTTCCAATTGGTGCTTAGGGGGCCTGGAGGCCACTCGTGGTGATTCTATGGGCTTGCTCAAGACTAGTGTCCAAGGATTTGGTGCCGGGGGGGCTTCCAGGGCTGTACCTGGTGGAGTGCAAGGGACCACATGCAAGAAATAGGATCTTAACCTCTGTATTAACTCTGCACCCTTTAACTGGTGAAAACTGATTGCTCCGTGAGGTTGAGTAAAGGGCCCTAGAACACACAGTTCATCTTCAGTGAAGTCAGAAGCTGAATGTCTTTAAATTCTTCACTCCATAGGTTTTGCCCTCCTCTCAATTACTTGGCTGCCGACAGGCTCAGGCTTCTCTCTCCACAGCCCCCTGGCTGTTCCCCAAGCCCCCCAAAGTGGATCCTGGGCCCCCAATTTTCTCGCTTGTTTCCTCTCATTGTCAAATCCCTTGGAGGGCCAGGATGTGGGGCCAGCAGGGCGAGGGGGCCTGAGCTCCTGAGCTTTCTGGAGGAGCTTCCTCTTCCGTCCCAGCAGAAGGGGGCTGGGGGGAGGGCATGCTCTCACAAGGCCATGCAGCAGTTGCTTCATTTTTCTGCTCTCACTCCCTTCTCCGGGGCCTGTCGGAGCCAGACCAAGACATTCCATGCCAAGCCCTTCCCTCAAATTCAAGGCCTTCCTCTCACTTCCTCCTCCTCACTGGGCGGATGTCCCAGCTGGATTGCAGAGGCACCGGGAGGGGGTTCTTGTGCAGCAACTCTACCATCTTGTCCAGGGGACCCCTGATCTGCTTATTAAGTGGGATGGGTTTGATTCACTTTGCAAATCCTCTCTAGGGCTGTACAAATCTTTACCGGGATCAAATCTTTACCGGCATATGAAACTCTGAAACAAGCACATAAAACTCTGAAACAAACACGTGTTCCCTCCAGGCCGTCTCCAGAAGAGCCGGAGGGAGCAAGGAGGTGAGTTCAGGTACACGGGCCCGTCCAGGACCACCGTCCTGGGCCATCAGGAGAGGGTCCTGCCCATCCAACGGGGCAGGCAGTCGGGAAGGTACTTACTGAAGCCAAATTGGGAGCTTAAGTAAAGAACAAAGCCATAAATCGCTCTTTCTGGCAATGGCGACGGTGAATTTTCCACCATCTTCCCTGGGGCTTTAGACAAATCTGCGGGAGAGAAATAGCCAGCGTCAGTGATCTCCCCCGCTCCTTCACCATTGGTCTGCTATAACCTCATCGCTTTGCTATGGACACAGTCTCTGCACTGGGGTTTGGTTTTTTTTTTTCTCATGCTCCCCACCCCTTTTCTCCCCAATCTAAGCCCCTGCAACTTGCCCTCCCGCGCACACACCTTCCACAGCAGCCCCCTGCAGCCCCCTCGTGCACGCTCAAGCAGCCCCCTAGTAGCCCCCTCCAGCCCCGCGTGCACGCGCACAGCAGGACCCCAGCCAGAGCGCGCGGCCCCTGCAAGGGGGAGAAGCGGGGGCCCGCCGGAGGGCCCCTGAGGGGGGGAGGGACAGCCCAGGCCCGGCTCCAGGCAGGCCTGCGGGCGCCCCTTTCCAGGAGGGGGGTGGGGTGGGGGCAGCTCTGGACTTGGGGCCCTCCCCCAGCTCCCCCTCTCCCCAGCTAGCGCCCACCCGGGAGAGCCGCATGGCAGGGGTGGGGCCGGGGTGAGGGGGGGAAGGGAGGGAAAGGCAAAGCCGCGACGCCGCCGCCCGCCCCCCTTCGCCCCTCTCCACCCCCCCTACCCGGCCGGGGCGCAGGCGCAGCGCGACCCTCGCCTGGCTGGAGCGCGCCAGCGCCGGGGGCCCGCGGGAGGGCTCGGGCGGCCGGCGCGGGGGGGCAGGGGCCCGCGGCGCCACTGCGCCTGCGCACTGGCCCACGTGACGCGCCCGCGCCGCGGCTGGGTCTGGCTCGCGCCCGCCCCGGCTGACGTGGAGCGCCCGAGCGGCGGCGGCGGCGGCAGCAGCAGCAGCGGCAGCGGCAGCAGCAGCGGCAGCGGCGCGGGCGGCAGAGCGGCGAGAGCGGCGGCGGCGCCGACGGTGTCCCGCATCCGAGGCTCGCGGGCGGCGGGCCCGGGTGAGTGCGCGGCGGGGCCGCCGGGACGTCGTCTGCGGACGGCCGCAGCCCCCCGGCTGGGTGCACGGCCGCGGCCGCCCGAGGGGGGTGTGTGGCGCGCGGCGGGAGCCCGTGGGTGTGTCCCCTTTGTCTGCGGGGCGCGCGGGGTGCCCCTGGGCGTGCACGACCCCCGGCTGGGCCAGCCGGACGCCCCCGCGTCGCCGTCCCCCACCCCCCATCCGACGCCTTTGTGCGGGCGCCCCCGCCCCCTCCTTTGTGTCCCCCCGTGCGCGTCCCCCGCGCGCGTGGCCGCCCTTGCTGCAGGGGGCGGCCGGGGATGCGGGTCCGCCCGAGGGTCTCGCCCCCTGCATCCCGCATTCCGCCGTGTGCGCGCGTCCCCGTCCGGGTCCCCCCGGGAAGTGCGGGCTGGGGAGTTCGCGCGGGTCCGCGGGCTTTCGCGGCACGCACGCAGGGCCCCTGCTTGCAGTTGGCACCACCTGTTTGGGCGAGGAGCGGCCGCGAGCCCCGGCGGCGGGCCCCCGGGAGGAGGATGGGGAGCAGGAGGAGAGGAGGATGGGGAGCAGGAGGAGGAGGGGGAGGAGAGGGGAGGAGGGGGGGCGGGGGCCCCGCGCGCCCCTGGGCCCGCGGCGCGGCCGAGCCGCCTCCCACCCCGCGCGCTCCCGAGTCCGGGGCGGGGGGCGGGGGGCGCGCGGCGCGCGCGGCGGCCCAGCTGTTGCGTGGCGTTTGCAGTGCCCTGGGTGGTCGGTCCGGGCGGGTTGGGGGGCGGGGGACTGCGGGGGCGGGAGGCGGCGCCCAGGACCCCAGAGCCAGCCGAGGCGGGGGTGAATTTGAGCCTTTTCCAGGGCCGGCCCAGGCGCCGGGCTGGATCCTTGGAAATCTCCGAGCGTGCCAGCGGGGCACGGACGTCGCGGCCGCCCCGCGGCGCCTAACGGTTCCTGCCGTGGTCTACGGCGATTACACGGATTATTACTACTATGTATATATGTATATGTGCATATATATGTATACGTGCACATATATATATAATTCAATCCAACTTTCTGGTGAGGGAAGCAAGAGAGCATTTTAAAAGATTTTAACACCGCCTCCCTGGCGAGCAGTTAATTGCCCCCCAGTCTGTTCTTCTTTGGGCCCCCTTTTTTCCCCCATATCGCCAAAAGTTTGCATTTTCTCCCATGGGAAATGGGGGTTGTAGATAGAGATACGCAGGGGAAAAAACTTCAAACCCGGTGAGGGACCCAACTCCTCCTCTCCCCCTCCTCCTCTTCTCCCCCTCCTCCCCCTCCTGTCTTTCCCCCCCTCCTCTTCCCCCCTCCTCTTCCCCCTCCTCTTCCTCCTCCTCTTCCTCCTCTCCCTCCTCCCCCTCCTCTTCCTCCCCTCCCCCTCCCCCTCCTCTCGCTCAAAGGTTTCTGCATGCTTTGCGCTCAAGGGCTGCGTTTTGCTGCGTTTTTCTGTGCATTTCTTCACTTTTCTTCTATCTGATTTTCTGTTTGCATTTTTCATTTTGGTTTCTGAAATACGTCACGTATGAAATACAGTGGGGGGATGCAACCATTCTGTGACTGATATACAGACGCAATGATTTTGGTTTTCCCAAATTTACGCCAATTTTTTTTTTTTTTTTTTTTAAGAAATCAAATTGCAGGTCCTCTCAGATCTTCTCCCTCCCTTCCTAGAGGTAGCCACCATGGCTTAGATTTGTGTGTATCGTTCCTTGCGTTATCAGATTTTATCCTTGGATCATGCTGTATCGTGAGCAACATTTAGTAACAGTGTCTTTAAACCTCAGCGATGTTTAACAATGTGTCTTTTTGCAACTTGCTTTCTTTTTAGCAGTGCACTTTGAGATATATAAATGAACAAATCGGATAATGATGTTATCTTTGGTTCTTTCATGTTAATTGCTGGTCTAGAATTCCATTGTATGAATATACCATAATTTGCCCATTTCCCCATTAATGGGCTTTGAAGTTGCTTCCCGTTTGGTTCTCCCAAAACAATTCTGCAATGAACATCTTTGTACATATCGGCTTGTGCATACATTTGGAAACTTCTCTAAGAAATACATCTCCAGATTTGTTGGAGAGTAGGGTGTGTTCCCTGCAACTTACACAACGGTCGCGGAGGTTCGCCAAGCGGTGTACTGATTTTTATTGTGTTGGGTGAGGGTGGACCTTTCCTCACCGCTGAGCTAATACTTTGTGTTTTTGCCTTCTCTTTACTTACCATTTCCTTGTAATTTTAGCTCGTGGCTCTATTTGCTTGCAGCTTTCTTCTAGCCTCTGTCAACCTCACGATTCTTCTCCCAGCTGAGTGGCTTAGTCATTATTTCCCTGGTTTCTCTTTAAAGAGTAATTATGATAAGCATTTATTTTTCACGTATTTATAGTTGTTACTGTAAGGATAGTCATTTTCATAGTGTGTTATATGGACCTCTAGTGGTCAGTGAGGCAATTTAAATGCTTCCCGTATGATCAATGATTTTTTTGAAGTAATGTATATTTGATACTCTCAAATACATGTAACATTAAAAAATGAACATCAGATTACCACTTTATCCAAGAATCAAAATGACTGGAGAAAATCAATGTGCTCATCAGTAGGGAGATAGCTATCAAATTGTGTTTTTAAAGATAATTTTAATCAGATATGTATGCATCTCTCAACAATGTATTGTATGGTTGCTATTGTTTTTGAGTTAAAAAAAGTGGGTATGTTTTCTGGGACTTGCTTATTTTACTTGATGTATATTATTCTTTAGAGTTACTAAAATTGAATATAGATATATATCAATGTTCACTGCTGTGTAATATTCCATGGGTGAATAGAACACAGTGTATGCATTCTTCTGTTGATGGACATCTGGTTTGTTTCTACCTTGCCTGTGGAAGAGAATCTTTTGTATATACTTCAGGTACACAGTTGCAAAGAATTTCTCTAATGTTCACCCTGGGGTGTGTGATTCTCAAGGCAGTACACGGAGATTTTTCTTAAGGAGTCCATGGACATAAGTGATGTTAACATCAATTTACAGATTATAGTGTATGCTTCTCTAAAGTTGCTAATGGCTGAGTCCTATGACAGAGGCTTCTTCACGTACTTCTGGTAGTAGCAGAGCTACCTTACTCAGGAAGGCATAGCACTTAGCCATATAGACTCTGAGGAGGGCATTGCCCCCAGTGGAAAAACTCTATGGGAACAAAAGCATAATTTATAGTACATCAGATAGTTGTGAGGAAAAATCTACTTTAATCCAGGTACCACCTCTGTCCATCGCCTCAAGAGCTGCATTTCTAATAAGAATTTTATTTTTTAAAATTACTGTATATAGTTATTTTTGGTCAACTGTATGCTTAAAATTTAAATGAATCCTTACGTTTTATTTCAAAATGTCATTACGATGCTCCAGAAAGTTATTCTTTGTAATTATTTAAGTTTCAGATTTTTAGATCTCACATTGAAATGTGTAGCTTTTATCATTTATAAAAGTATTTTTGGTGGTTTGTGAGAAGAAGAAATACTATTATGGTAAGAAATTTGCAAGAACTGGAATTGCTAGGTCATGGGGTATCAATGCCCAGCTCTACAAAATACTGCGTTCCCTGAAGTGGTTGTATCAAATTTACACACTCACCATCAGTCTTCCAAATTTATATATTTTGATCAGCAGGCAATATGTATGAGTTAACATTGATTTCTTTCTGTCTCTCCAACATGGTTTTAGTCATCAGTGGCTTATAAAATGATACATCATTGTGGTTTTAATTTCTCTTCCTCTGGTTATTGATGAGATGAACACCTTTTTCTTGTTTAAAGACCGGTGTGTTTCCTGTTGTGTAATGGCCTTATCTCTTTACCTATTTTCCTATTGGATTGTCCTTTAAAACAAATGGTTTGAAAACACTAATCCTTTACTGATTGTGTGCATTGTAAATATCATCTTCCAGTTCAGTGTCTGTCTTTACACTTTTCTGGTGTATTTTGGTGACTAGAAGTTCTTATTTTACTGTTATCAATGGGCTACCTTTCCTGTCCTGAGATTATAAATACTTGTGTTTCTTTATAGATTTTTTTTTTTCAAATGATGCCTTTCACACTTAATTTCCTAGTCCATTTGGTATTGATCTTTGTATATGGTGTGAGGTAGTGTTTCATTTTCATGTCCTGGCCAACCCTCCAACCCCATGTAGATAGAGCGGTCACCATAAAATGTGAATTGACCCTTCGTTCACCAGAGGTCTGCTGAATCCCCTCTTGTATGTGCTTAGTCTCTGTGTACACAGGTCTGTTTCTAGCTCTTTGTTATTTGTCCACTTTCCGTCTCTGTGTTCATATCTCACTGTCGCAATTGTTAATGCTCTAGCGTCACCAGCAGTCTTGATATCTGGGTGGCTTTGAGTCTCAGCAGCTCTCTTGGACCTTTCTTGTTTTAAGAATCAGCTAATCACGTGACATGAAAAACCCTATGGGAATTAATTGGAATTGGATCAGTTTGGGGAAGAATTGAAATCTTTTAAGATTTTGAGCCTTCCTGTCTGAGAGAACATGGTATGTATTTCTATTTATTTAGGTTTTTAATGTCTTCTAATAATAGTTTTATGATTTTTTCCTCCTTGTAGATCTTCTACATTTTAAATGTTGATTCCAGTGTTTGTTAGCTTTCATTGCTATTATAATTAATTTTTTTGACTCTGCTTTTACTGTTAAAGAAATTTAATAGAATTTAAAATATTGATCTTTAATCATCCTCTTGGTAAATTTAAATTTTCTAATACATTTTTCAGTAATTTCTTTGAGTTTTAAATGTGGTTAACTATGTCATTTGCAAATAGTGACGGTTTTGATTCTTTCTCAGTTTTTCCTTTTAATTAACTTTCCTTGTCTTAAAATTAAAATTTTTGACTAAAATTCTTGAAATTCTTAAAATTCTTGACTTAAAAATTACGGGCACACTTTTAGATCTAAGTTCAATGGAAATGATTATGGTTATTCATTAAAACTGATTATTTGGGGCATACCTACCTCATTAAAAATGTTAGGCATTTGTAGATAGCTTAAATTTAAAGAAGATTTTGCAGTTCTGCTACATATGTTTATGCACTGGTTGAGGATATTTTGTAGTTCTGCTCCTTTAGTCTGAAGTGTAATGGCTCCCAGTGATTTAAATTTTGAAATCTCTTTTTTCTTTTTTGGGCCATGCCCAGCAGTGCTCAGGAGTTATTCCTGGTGGCTCTGTGCTTAGGGATCACAATGGGTTGGGCATTGGGGAGGGTTTTGGGGTCACATGGAATGCCAGGAATCAAATCAGGTTGGCCACTGCAAGACAAGTCCCTCCCTGCTATGGTCCTATAGTACTTTATTGATAAAACAGCTTTTCAACATCACAACTTTCACCAGAGTGGAAGGGTTGATTCTGGGCCTAGTTATTCTTTCCTGTTAGGAGTGTCTTTTAAAAATTTCACTGGGAGGGGCTGGAGCAATAGCACAGAGAGTAGGGCGTTTTCCTTGCATGCGGCTGACCCGGGTTCGATTCCCAGCATCCCATATGGTCTCCCGAGCACCTCCGAGAGTAATTCCTGAGTGCATGAGCCAGGAGTGCATCACTGGGCGTGACCCAAAAAGCAAAAAAAAAAAAAAAATTGGGTTTTTCTTTTTTTCTTCCACTTTTAATTTTTTTTGGGGGGAGGAGTCAGTGCATTTTGTAACTTAGCTTGCATACTTAGCTTAGGGGTTTTTGACCATTTCTATTTCCTCTCAAACTCTGAGACTATGGGGCTAGAGAGATAGTATAGTATGTAAGGTGCTTGCTTGCCTTACACACGGCAGACGTGGATTGTTTCCTGGCACCCCATGTGGCCCATTGAACACTGTCAGGAGTAACCCCTGAGCACAGAGCAAGGAGAAAACTCTGAGCACTGTCATTAGATCAATGCAATCTAGACATTCTTCCCCCCCTCCCCCCTCCCCGTGGAGCTTTTTAAAAATTGTGTTTTGATCCTCCCCGTTTCTAAATTTGCTCTTCCTTTCAGAGCTTTTTTCTGTCCTCCTTTCTTTTGGTGGCAATTTTCCTGGATTATACTTTTCCTTTCTTGCCACCCCCCCACCCCCCTTTTTTTTTCTAAAGTGAAGAAAGGTAGTTTTTTTTTTTTTTTAAATCAATTAATTAGAAATTTGGGAGAGGAGAGATAGGGGAAATCTCTTCAAGAGAACCTGGGCAGCTAAAAAAAAAAAAATAACCAACCAGATTAAGCGAGTGAGATTCATGTTCAAGAGAGAAGAGCAAGCCCATTTTACTGCCTTTTAAAAATGTGATTACTGGCTGGGGCTGGAGTGATAGCACAGCGGGTAGGACGTTTGCCTTGTGTGCAGCTGACCCAGGTTCGGTTCCCAGCATCCCATATGGTCTCCGGAACACTGCCATGAGTAATTTCTGAGTGCAGAGCCAGGACAAACCCCTGTGCACCACCAGGCGTGACCCAAAAAGCAAAAAAAAAAAAAAAAAAAAGGTAATCACAGGGGTGAGAAATAGTACAGCAGGTAGGGTGCTTGCCTTGCATGTGGCTGACCTGGGTTCAGTTCTCGGCATCTCTGAGCACTGCCAGGTATGGCTCAAAACCAAAAAAAAAAAAGTCATTTTAGGTATGTCTTGTAAAGTACATGCAATTGGATTTTTCTTTCAGTTCAACCAGAAAATTTATTCTAACAATTTAAGTCTCTTGGTGGCCACTTTTACTTTTACCTGAAACTCTTATTCTTGAGAAATCATTTTGGTGGATACACGTGGTTTGTGCATTTCTGTTAGTGCTCCGGAGGTCTTATTCTGCTGCTCCTCATGCAAAATCTGCTGCCAGTTTTATCTAGGCTTCTTTGAAGAAAATACTCATTTTTCTTTTTTGCTTTGGATTTTCTTTGCTTTGGTGGTTGGTCATTTCTGTTCTAAGACTTAATGGAGATTGCTGTTCATTTATCTGAATTTGGACTGATTTTGATTTTTTTATGAGGTCTAGAAGACTCTTAGTTCTGTAGCCTTTAAACATTGTTTTGTTGATTTCATCTGTTCTCTCCTAAACATTTAGCTAGATATGTGTGTTATTTTCAGGTCATTCTTTATCTTCAGTGTATGTGATTTTTAGTTGCTACCAGAGTCTGTAGTGCTAAATGATTTCATCAGGCATTTCGTCTAATTCATTAACGTTCTCTCCAACTGTGTCTCACCCTCTTGAACCCATCTAGCCTTTCTTTTAGTTTCAGCAATTTTTAACTCCTAAAAGTTCTACTCCATTCATTTTATTTTCCTTTTTGGTTTTTGATCCACACTGTCAGTGCTCATGAATGGCTCCTTGTTCTGTGCTCAGGAGTGATCCCTGGCAGTGCTTGGGAGGCCGCAGGTGGTGCTGGGTTCAAACTGATCAGTTACGCACAAGCCACGCACCTTGGTTCCTGTCGTGTATCTTCAATCTCTATTCTAATTCTTTTTAGATCTAAGCAGTCATTTTTAGCATCTTATGTGCTCTTCCTCCCTCTCTCAGGCATGAGTTTTCTGTAGACTGTATCTGGGATGTTTAAATAGAGTTATATTCTTTTTATTTTTACTTTTTTTGTCTTTTCTCTTGTTAGGAGTGTCTCATTTTGGGGTCACATCCAGTGGAACTCGGGGCCTACTCATGGCTCTGTTCTCAGGGATCACTCCTGGTGTTGGTCACAGGCAGAGGAGGTACTGAGATTGAATCTGGGTTGGCTGCATGCAAGGCAAACACATTAGCCCCCATCGCTTCAGCCTGTTGTTTTTTTTGTCATGGGTTGTCACCTCTTATGTTTGGTGATCTTTGATTATGAACTCCAGTTTAATTGGTCTTTCCTTGTGGAGATCCGGTCTAGGGATGGCTTTCTTCAGAAAGAATTCTTGTCTATAGGACATCAAGGTGTTCACCTGTAGCTGCATTTTAGTTAACCTCATTTTGCTTCTGGCTTATGCCCCACTGATTCCACTGCTGCCCATCTACATTACTTGGTGTCACTCATCACTGTCAGGTTTATTTCTTAGTAGAGATTTGTGACTGAGCGGAGGAGGGCTTGGTGACTTCTGGTTGTAGCTCTTGGCATGGAGCGGTCTGGATTTGAGGCATGGCCCCATAAAAACAAGTGTCCCTGTTCCTGTGAACTCACCATATTTAAGTAGACCATTCCAATATTGTATCACAACTGATGGGATCAAAAGTACTTTAACATTTAATTTTAGTAGCATATTTATTTTAGCATATTAGAAAAAAAATAGTAAAGGCATGTTCTGCCTAACATAAGATGTACTAAAACAAGTTTACATCTAAGTTAAAAGTTGAGCATTTCTGAGGAATATTCATAGTATGGGCGGTGAGTACATTTGGCAAGTGTTCTGCCCAGGGAAATGTGAATGAAAGATTTGGGAAACACTGAGCTAGGGAGTCAGGCTAAATTGGGAACAGAGTACCATCTGGACCCAGAGCACACCAACCTACGGGGATAAGCTTGTGATGATCAAATAGTGTAAAAAAAAAAATATGCGGTTCTAGGGAAGATGCAGAATAGACTTGGTGGGAGTGGGAAGATGAAGCCCTTCCTACAATGGAGTAGTAGGACTGGGTGGCACTTGGCAAGCAGTGTGGCGTTTTAGGTGTATGTCCTGGCTGAGCAGAGTAAAAGCAGGAACAGACTCCCAGCAGGCCTTCTGGGCTAGTGCAGTGTGTTTGGCCTTTATTCTGAAGATGAAGGGGAAACTACTTCAAAGCAGTGAAATGTCACAATCTCTTTTGGAGGGTGCCAGGATTGAAGGTTAGTCACTGTTAGGAGCCCGCTTGTTAAATGACTTCTGTAGAGAAAAGATGCAGTTTTTGGGAAGCAATGACCTTGGCATTTAGAGGTCCCTGGTACTTATTTTAGATTGGGGGGGAGGGGAATGCAGAGTAGACTTGACAAGAAAGTGTGGTCTGTGTTACGGGTCTGCTGCGGAGAATGGATTACTCTCCGATTCTCTGACCGGGTGGCCAGGTAGCAGGTATTATTAATTGGGAACAATTAACACAGGAAAGACACCATGTTTCATTTGTTTTTGAGGGTAAACATAAATTTGTTTTTGGAACTTATTTTTTATGAGAGAGGCTGTGACATCTTGGCTAAGATAGTATAGCAGTAGATAGGGATCTGGAAATCAGGAGATGGAACCCAGTTTGGAAAGATGGGATAGTTGAGCATTTGAAATGTTCCAGCCAGTTTGTTGCAGTGCAGTGTGAGATACTTTCAAATGATACATCGATAAACATTAAAGTTTTCTGTGGCGGGAATGTATTGTGTGCAAAGCAATGTCCGTTCTGCATCAGACCATCATATCATTGATATCACCCAAGTCAAAGCGAGCCCAGTTAAAGAAATACAAGGAAATACAATGACACGTGGAAGTGGCAAATACCATGGTGAGGGCGTGTGTCCGGTGGGAGCTCAGAGAGTGCTGTGTTAAGCTCTGGGGGTGGTGGCTAAGGTCGTGATCACCCTAGGAGAGAGTGAGCGTGAGAAGAGAAGAGAGGTGACAATTGGGTGGCGGGGAGAGCAGAAGAAGAGCCCATGAAGGAGGCTAAGGAAGAGCAGAAGAATAGGAGGAGAACCAGGAGAAGAATGTCTTTGGAGTCCAGATGAAGCGTTCTGAGGAGGAGGAGGTGGCCGGCAGTGTCAAGTAAGTTGTAAGCTGGAAAGTGGGTTAGCAGTTGAGGAAGACTGCTCAGTGGGGGCGTTCAAAGAGTAGATTTCAAAAAATAGTCATCTAATTTTTATGACAGTGGGAGCTGATATTAATTACAGCGCTTCCTAGATGCACTATTCTAAGTACTTTAAGTGTGTTAAATGGTTAATGAGAGAGAGGTGCTGTTCACTAACTTGCCCAAGTTCACACATTTAGGGAATGGGGGATCTGGGACCCCAGTTGAGGCGCTGGTTCCAGAGTCTATGCTCGTAGCCACTGTGCCATAGCACCTCTTCAATGCAGACACAGTAGCAAACAAAGCAGAACGGCAGTCACACTGTGTGAGGCTACAGTACAGTTGTTGTAGAGGTTGGTTGGTACCGATGACCGATTGGTCACCATGGCTCAGTCTGCCTGATGTGAGCAGATTCATTGTATTAGAATCACTGTCAGCATGGTGATCAGGCCAGGACAAATAGTCCTTGGCTCTTTCTGCATTCATATGTGCACTAAAAAACTAAGAAATTAGCCAGAGGCAGGAAATAGGTCAAAGGCAGGGTGCATTCTTTGCATGCTCAAGGTTTGGTGCCTAGCACTTCCGGAGTGACTCCCAAGCACTGAGCTAGGGGTTGCTCCTGAGCACTGCTGGCTGTGACCCCCGCAAAATATCAAAAAGGAGGAAAAAAGTTAGTTTCAAAGTGTAGATGTTTCCCAGGGCATTGCATATCCCTCATTATGTACTGCACTAAAGAATGGTATTATGTTACTGTCACTTTTGGAGTTACATTCCCTATGAGTTTTAGAAATATGTTCATGCAGAACAGGTGACAGGTTCCATATTTTATGGGTAGCCTGTCCGTTACAGAAGGGCAGTGGTGGAGTTACAGAAAGCGATATTCCCTTCAGTGTTAGAGATGGAAACCCAGTGGTAAGGAACTGAAAGGTCCATGAGAATGTGAGGGTTTGAATGGGTGAGGATGGAAGAATTATTGATGAAGTCGAAGAATGTTCAAGAGATGAGAGTCCTGGGATCAGAGAAGAGCAAATGTGAGTTAAAGGATTGCAAAATGGACGTAGACCTGGACATTGATCTGCAGTTGGTGCTAGGGAAGGAGGTCTCAGGAGATGAGCAGGAAGCGGACTTCAGTTGACAAGTTGCAAGGCTACGTGTGGTTTCGATAGGCCTTGATGTGTCTGATGGAATTGGGAGGAGAGGAGAGCACTGCGGAGTAGTGATTAGTGTTTCCTGCCTGTACAGTGGAGAGGATGATCAATAGGCCGTCAGAAGAATTGCAGTGAGGATTAATGAGCTGATGTCTGCCAATCACCGTGTTGGCAGTGGAGCACCATGTGACAAATAGGAGCAATAGTTTGTTAGTGCTTATGCTTCACTCTGATCTTATGAGGCATCTGCAACGACAAATTGGCAAGCAACATAATGATACATTCAAGAAAAATAATGTATTCCAAGAACTGATGGTGGTGATCTTGGTTAGGAAAAAGAGACTTGCTCTATTTTTTTTCTGACAATAGTGGGATAATAGTATTCAAACAAAAAAGCTATGAGAGATTTAATGAGGGTGTTGGTGCTAAGAAAAGAAAGCCATTACTTGGACAAGAGTTAGATGCAAGAAAACTATATATTTTTTTTCTAATGACAAATTAGGGCCTTTACCTTTACTAATGACAATAAGATTTTGTAGCAGTTTTCTGTTAGGTCTTTATTATTGAACTTCCTCCAGGATTTAAAAAAAAAAAAACAACAACCTTAATTCAAAACTCATCTTCATTTCCCCACTTTTCCATGTCAAAATCTCAAAATGTGATTGCTGATAGGTGAGATTTTTGGCCCACAATCAAGCAATGCTGATATGTGTTGTAGCCCTAGTGAGCCTTAGAGGCAGTGATGGTTCGGAGGTTGGAACGTCTGGATGAGGCCATGGGGTGTTGCATTAAGAAATTCACCCTAGGGGGCTAGAGCAATAGCATAGCAGGTAGGGTGTTTGCCTTGCAAACGGCCAACCTGGGTTTGATTCCCAGCATCCCATATGGTCCCGTTAAGCACCGCCAGGGGTAATTCCTGCGTGCAGAACCAGAAGTTAACCCCTGTGCGTTGCCAGGTGTGACCCAAAAAGCAAAAAAAAAAAAAAAAGAAAGAAATTCACCCTGTAGGACTCTACCTCTGCTCCTTTGTTTAAGATAGAAACAGCACTGAGGAGTAGACAGGAGACGAAAAGGGCTGAAAGTTTCCCTGGTGGAGTCAGAACTTTGTTCCACCCAGGAGGTTGAGAACATAGCAGAATTTATGGTGAAATGGGTTGAAATGGCATGTTTGACAGACTGCATTAGAGCAACAATGGAAAGGGGACTTTCACTCCTGCCATAGACACGTGCAAAGCTGAGAAAGAGGCTCTGAATAATCTTCCCTCTAAAGGGGCCGATCAATCCCATAAGTTCAGAGCAGAGAGGAAAAACCCAAAGAAAAATAAGTGAACCTAAAGAAAAAAAAATTGATCCAGCTGGTATTTGAAGAGTGCGAGGGGGCAAGGGTGGCAGAACAAGGATAGGACTTCTGGGGCTCAGTGTTGCTCTGGAGTTAATTTCATGGGGCGTAAGTTCCCGATGTTTTCCTAAAACACCATAGTAGCCAGGACCACTGCTTCTGTATCGCCTCAGATTGGTTCATTTCTGATTTGCGTTTGTGTTGCTGCCTTAGGTTGACACACCATGGAGGACTGCAGCATGGGAGACTTCACGGAAGCCGATAGTGCTGAGACCGAGGATGGCACCTACGGAGATGACTGTGGTTTTTCTCCCGAGTATCCATCCAAAAATTATGGTCGCATGTCTCAGCTGTACTGTGATGGGCTGGTAAGCAGACTCGCTAATCCTTTGTCTTTTATATTGTGCTTTTGATGGAATTAACGTGCAACATTTTGTCAGTTTTCATGTGGTAGTTCATAAAGTTTCTAGTACATGTGTACAGTCTACAGAATGAGCACCTCAGTAACCCTAGTTTATTATGCAATATCGTGTATGTATGTTTCGGTACTGATTTTGTGTGTGTGTGTGTGGGTGCTGAGACTTTTTTAAGGTTTACTTTTTGAAAAGTTTCAATTTAGAGCTATCTGGGTAAAGAAGTTTTGTGAGTTTTCATGGGGAAGTGTGCCTGCTTTTAAAGTGATTTCAGCAGGCAGATTTAGTGTCCTCCACAATGGGCCAGCCAGGAAATTGGTGAATTTCCTGGTGGATGGTGGTTTTCTGTGTGGAGGGGAGCCAGGAGGGAAGACCCTAGAAACAGGTTCGGGGCGGGGGGACACACTGACAGAGGTCTTTGACTATGACGTAGTGAAGATGCTAGAGTTCAAATGCATCAGCTAACGTGTACCAGAAACTTTCAGTTCAGTATAATCAATCTTTATCTTAAAATCAAGAATTGTACTTTTGCACTCTACCAGATACATATCAAAAGCATTTATTTCTTTATAGGGTATGCAGTATAAAGATTATATTCAAAGTGAGAGAAACTTAGGTGAGTACATAGGTATTAATTTTGTGCATGACTATAAGGGAGGGTCATCCATTCACAATAAAGTAGCAGACTTAAAATTTTCAGAAAGTGATTCTTTTCACTACAAACCATAACCCTTCTTTGTTAAAATAGTTTTAGCTAATACCTAACTGTTAACAATGTTTCATTCGCATGTTACTTACCTTGCCATACCCCATTTTTACCTTCTTTTTATTTAACTACTGATTTTCAGGTTTTTAGACAAAAACACTACTTAAAAGCTTCTTCTTTTTTTTTTTTTTAAAAATTTAGAGTTTGACATCTGCAACATGTGGTGCAGCAAACCGATGTCTGTCCTGCAAGATTATTGCGATGCCATCAAAGTCAATATCTTCTGGCCACTTCTGTTCCAAAGTCAGAACAGTTCTATAATATCACGACTGCACCCCTGTGTGGAGCCCACGTAAGTTATGATGATACTCAATTTGCATGAAACAGTGGTCAGCATGTTGCCCAGTGTTGCAGAATGCCAAGTTCAGTAACGGGCTTACGTTCCATTTCTATAGACTGTTCAGCTTGATTCTTGTTAAAGAGTAGGGTGAAAGTTGATACTTTCAGTTTGATATCAATTAGTCATCATAAGATTGCAATGAATTGAAACTGAAGAACATTAGATAGTATCAGTGAAGTAAGGAGTTGATAATAATAATATATGGATCTCTAAATCTTATTGTAGTCCAGAAAAGAAAGACAGAGTATTTTGTCCACTAGATAAACAATCTTCCTTGAGTAAATAGAGAACTTAATTTTTTTTCACCTAGGTCAAACTGACATACACAGTCAAGTGTAAAGTTCAGTAAATTTTTTTTGGGGGGGGCGCCCACACCCAGCGATTTTCAGGGGTTATTCCTGGCTCTGAGCTCAGGAATTATTCCTGGATGTACTCAGGGATCATACAGGATAAAGTAAATTTTATAAATGTTATAAAATAAAATAAATTTGTTTTTAAGTGATTCTCAAGCTCCTGAGATGAGTTTGAAGAAATTGCAACATATTGAGTTGATGGAAGATATTGTTGATTTGGCGAAGAGAGTTGTGGTAAGTATAGTGTGTGGTTATTTTCTCCTTTATTTCAAGACTACTAATATGTATATGGTATCAGGCTCCAGTTAGCAGTTAATCCATAGTGAGTGCTAAATAGGTCATGGTTTCTTTTTCCTCTGCTACTATGAGTTTGAGGGGTCAGGAGGAGGGCTGAGCTTAACAATTAGACCTGACATCTAGCACTGCTCCTTGACATCTAGAGAAATGGAAATTTGTCACAAAATTGTGCTCCTGGTTTTATAGGAGTTAAACCAAGTGACTGCCCCCACCTTCACAATACTTGTTATCTGGGATAGATTTCGTAGCTATTTATTCATTCTTTTGTTCATGGTGTGGGAAGTGAACTCAGGGCCTTCACACATACAAGGCAGGTGCTTTGCCACCGAGCCATGTCTCCAGACCTGTGCGGTCAGTGTGATCATGTCAAATTAGTATGAGTTAAGGTATAGTTATTTTTATCAGTCACTGTGTTGTTTTATTTTTGAAGTGGCATTTTATTTCTTGGGGTTGTAAATTCTACAGTCCCTCTGTTGAATGTAGGGTACTTGATTAACTCAGCTGTAGCCGTGGCCTTGCAGAAATTTTCATCATTACAGTGTCCTCACACCAGTCTTGTCCCAGTAGTCAAGAATGACAGCATGATTGCGTGTCATTTCTGTCAGAACCTAAGACTAACATGCAGGTATATTGATATACTATAAAATCAAAGTCATCCATAGTGTCATAAAAATCTATAAGTAATTATGCTGCCAGTATTTGCCTCCCTGGGTCTCTGGTTCGTTCTGTTTTCTGTTCTGTATCATACTATCTGATGCTGGCAAAATTGAATTTTTTGAAGTATACAGAGTGTTATGGGTTTTGGAATTCATGGACACAGATTTAGAAGATCACCGTTTACAAATAAAATATTTTACATCTGAAAAAAATCTAGAAGTAATCAACCTTAAAATCCATGTTTCTAAATATTAGTCTGATTTTGGGGTGTGTGGTTTTTGGGCCACCACTGCAGTGCTCGGATTATGTGGGGCTCAGTGGACCATATTGGCTGCTGGGGATTGAACCTGGGTCGGCTGCTTGCCAAAGCAAGTGCCTTGCCTGCCATACTATCTTGCTGGCCCTAATTTCAGTAATTTTTGCCATTAGAATCCAGTATCCGATTATTTTTAAATGCTGACATTAGAGCCCTGACATGGTAAGAGGGACAGGAAAGTGCCTGGGGAAGGGGAATCTATATGTACAGATAGTATTCATGAAATGTGGGAGCTTGGGTCCACTAGAAAATTCAAGTATAATGGACAGAATAAGAGAAAACGTGCTTCTTTTTATTCTTTGGTTCTGTTTTGCAGAATGATCCATTCTTTATTGGAGGCTTATTGAGAATTGGCTATAAAATAGAAAATGTAAGTGTTCAGTGTTGGGAACCCACCATGGTCACTGTCGTCTAACTGCATTCTGCTGCTGCATCGGAGCCCCATCATAGTCCCTGTTCTGATGTTTGGGAGTACTGATTTCTGTGTTGTGCGTTAGCCATCAGCTTCTACGCCATTTCCCCCTGCATCTCCCCAGTGTGTAATTTTGAGCCTGTCTTATAATTGATTCTTTTACCTCTTCTTACCTGACATGTTTTCTCAAATGAAATTCATTAGGTTCCTAGTCTGAGCATTTTTTCGGATAAGTAATTATTATGTAATCTAGACCTATAGTCATGCTTCGCCTAACATTGTTTTTAAGGTGAAATGATAGAGTAAAAGCGGACCTACCTACAGATAGCATGATTTCATTCAGCATCAAAGCTTTTTTCTTTTCAGTGTCATGATGAAGTGACATTGAATGAAATGGTGTTAATTGAGAACCCGCTTGCTCTATCATGATAATTTTTTTTTCTTTCTTTTTTTTCTGAGTTGGGAGTTGGGGAGGGGTGCACAGCTAAGAGTCCTCAGGGCTTTCTCCTGGTTCTGCACTCAGGATCATATCAGGCACCGGGGATGGAACCCAGGCAAGACAGATACCCTACCGCTGTGCTATCTCTCTAACCCCTGATAATTTTTTTCCCTTTGTTTTTTCTTTTTGTCTGAGGAAGAGTTTGGGACACACTGAGCGGTGTGCAGGATACTTCTGGCACATGCTCTGAGGCAGTTCTGGAGGTTCTTAGACACCTATGTAGTTCCAGTGATCCTGCATGCAAAGTGTTATCTTTGTGTTATCTCCTTGATCCTAATCCGTTTCCTTGCTTAGAAGGACCAGAGACCTTTGATTCTGGGTTTTCCTGCTACCGCCCTGCTGGTAGCCCTCAGCTGTGGTAGATTGCCACATGAAGCCCATCAGATGGCCACCTTTGCCTCGTGCTGTGGGGTCAGACCACAGAGAGTGAAATAGATGCAGTGGCTTGTTCACTGCTACCTGGACAGCCCACTGCAAAGGCTTGTGGGCCTAAAGAGGTTCAATCTCTGTTTCTCTCTTTCCTCTGTTCACACCCACTGTTTGCAGTGAGTGAGTACTTCTAACAGCGGGTCAGCTGTTCAGGCATCTATGGGCGTCCGGGGCCCTGGGCACAGATAAGCAGTAGACCTGAGACTATGGGGAATGGCCTGCTCGCCGCAGGCTCCCTGACAAGCTGTGTGTGTTACAGCTCTGATAAGCTGGTCAGGCCTGGGCACTCCCCAACAGGATTTTTCCTCTTGCGCTCATACTTTGCCTGGCAGACGTTGCCCACCTTGGCCTGTATTTCCCCATAGCAGAAGCTTTTTCTGCCTGGGCCAGTGCTTCCCTTCAGCTTGCTTAACTAGAGATACTGGCCATTATCTTAGGGCCTGCATTTACAGGACGATTTCCCACACTCAACTTCCGGGTCTGCAATCATTGCAGAAGTTTCTTGAGCTTTTGTGGGTGGGCTGGGATTATCTGAAGATGTGGTAGGTGAATTCCTACCATCTATCTGTTAACTTTACGAGTTAGGGTTCAACACGCTAGGTTGTGTGTGATATGCGTATAAACTACAACGTAAGACAATTACAATTTCATCGTGAAAATCAGAATTAATACCCAAACCATGTTCTTCATCTTTTTTTTTTAATAGAAAATCTTGGCAATGGAAGAAGCTTTGAACTGGGTGAAATATACAGGCGACGTAACAATTCTACCCAAATTAGGAGCAGTTGAAAATTGTTGGCCTATGCTAAGTATTTTCTTTACTGAATGTGAGTATAAATGTTTTAAATTGTTACTTGACTCATTCTTTTTGGGGGGGAGGGGAAAACTTTTTTTCAAGTGGAATATGTTGCTATATGATTTTTAATTTATCAAGATTTTTTTAAATTTTTATTTTTTATTGTAAGAAAAAAAACTTGAAGGGAGATTTACCTTGTTAAATACAGTCTCGCTCTGTATGTTCTTAATGATTTCTACAATATTACACTTTCTTGAAATTCTAGCTAACAGATCACAATTTTTTACCTATGATACCCAAGAAAGAGAATACACCTGGACCTATATGAACTTAAATTCAGAAGACAAGTAACAAGCTAAGATTTTAATTTTCTGCCCTGATGGAGATGTTATTCCTTTGTATGGTGACACTATTTCATATAACTTGTTACTTAGTCACACATTTTCCCCTAAAGTATTCTGAAGGTTGGCAGTGTTTTTTAGGAGCAGGACTCTTAGAAAAGTAACATTGGGCTTTTTTTTTTTTAAATAAAGACTGCTAATTTGCCCATTTATTCTGAGGGCATGTACTAACATCGACATGTACTGTTATTACATGTGTTAGAAATTAAACATGTTAGAAATTAAACAGTGAAAACAAGCTTTGCTGGGGCTGGGGCTGGGGCGATAGCGTAGCAGGTAGGGCATTTGCCTTGCCCAAGGCAGACCTGGATTTGAGCCCCAGCATCTCATATGGTCCCCCGAGCATCACTAGGAATAATCTCTGAGCATTGCTAGGTGTGACCCGCAAAAGAAGCCATTTTGGGGACTTATTGGATGCTGGACTATATTCCATAGATAGGTTGACTTTGTTCTGGAGTGTTTTAGAATTTATGGCCACAGCCCAGAAAGGCTAAGCAAGGTGGTGAAGGAAGACTCTGATCGGTTAAGTCCTGTTTAGCAGTCTACCATCTAGGAGGGCCTAGGCGCCAAAGTGTGTCACAAATCTCAGTCCTAGTTTTCATCCTGTGCTCTTCCTTGATTTGGTGTGACCTTCTGTAGTGATATTTGAATTTCAGATTTTGAGTTCTCCTCTCACTGTAGTTATAAGTGTATTTGATTTCAGGGCAGAAGTCTAATATTGTAGAAATGAAATTGCTACTTTGAGAAAATTCTTTTGTAGAACATCTTTGGAATGGAAAATGGGGACTGGTAAAACTTCTGACATATTGGCCAATTCCTCATGTGTCGTAATTACTTAGTAATTTAAGTGTGGTGTTTCATAGTAAAGGAATAAAAAAAAAATGACCAGGGATAACAGATCCTGACAGTTGACCTGTAGGACTGAGTTTGCCAAGGGGCTAGTGTTAGGGTGGGTAGAAGGATCCAGCTACAGGAGTGGGAAGGGCAGTGTGGGGGTGAGTAGGGTGGTAGCATTGTCAGCTAGACGTTACTATAACATTGTTGCAAATCATTCTAGCCTGAATCAAAAAGATAGTCTTTCAAATGTCTGATTTTTAACATTTCATTGATTGGTCAAATCTTGAATTGAGTATTTTTCACTAAAATACTTAATTCTGTGTTTTAATTAAGATAAAATAACTTAAGAATTAAAAAATAGTTCAGTGATGACTAATATTGAATTAAGTAGCTTTAAGCTTGGTGAAACATTCCAAATTCATCATTTGTTAAATATACTTGTAGTATTTTTTTTTTTAGTAAATTTGTTTAGTATATTTCTAAGTATATTTAGAAGGTTTTCCCAGTTTTTGTTTTCAGATATTTCTTTGTAGAATATTGTAACAGATATATCATAAGTGCTGAATAATATTTGCTGGATTCACTTGAGTAACTAACTATGGACCATATTAAGAATGTAGTGTAAAAGTGCTTTTGTTGTAACTACAATGAAAACTAATGACAAAAAAATTTTTTTAAGTTAGAAAAAAAGATTCATAGCAAACAACAGATCTAATCTTTTCTGAAACATTTGGTAGTAGTTATTAAATGTATTATTTGGTATATGTAAAGAGATTATAAGACAGATTATCTAGAAAGTATGAACTCAATGAACTTACCTACCTGACTTAAGAATTAGGACACTGTCAATAGGAATATTTTAAACAAATATTTTCTCTCTCCTAAAAATAAAATCTAGATAAGTATCACATAACTAAAGTTGTAACAGAGAACTACAATTTGCTTGAAGACTTCAGAACTCCAAATTGTCCAGAGTGTATAGAGGTGAGAATAAATACTTACTTCTAAATCTGTTGTATGATTTACTTGTTAGTGCTTTTTAGTAACTTTTAGGATTTTCAGTAAAAACTGCTCTCTGACAAAATACAGAAGCCATCGTAAAATCAAGTTGGCATTGGAGGGAACATTTTGTTGTTATTTCTGTGGGGGCCACACCCAGAGATGCTCAGGGCTTAGTCCTAGCTCTGCACTCAGGTATTACTCCTGACGGAGCTCTGGATACCGTGTAGGGTGCCAGGAACCTGAGTAAGTCACATACAAGGCAAGTGCCCTACCTATTCTGCTATTACTTGGGCTTCTTGAGAGGACATTTTAATCCATTTTAGTTGGAATTTTTATTTTTGTATTTTTTTGCTTTGTTTTTTGGTTTTGGGACCACACCCAGTGATGCCCAGGGCTTACTCCTGGTCTGTGCTCAGCAATTACCCTTGGTGGTCTTGGAGGACCATATGGCATGAAGGGGATTGAACTCGGGTTGGCTGCATGAAGGCAAGAGTCTTACCCCCTGTACTTTCTCTCTGGCTCCAAATATTTATTCTTTGAACTGCAGAATAATAGCATGTTGAACAATTTTCTAGTGTTAGAGATTTCAAAGCATTTAGCTGAAAATTTAAAAAAAAAATTTTTTTTCTAATTAAAAGGCTTTTAGTTAGCCTAAGAAGTACGATTTTCCTTGGTAACAACGGCTTTTTTTGAGCTAGAGTTAACATTCCATATGGTTAACTTATAGGAGGTATGATTTTAACTAAATTTTAGAAAAGATTTAGGAAAATTGTTAATCTAGTTAAAATACATTGAGTTTATTTTCATGTGTTTAAAATTTTGAGATTGCTGTGAAATTTCAGTAATGTTTGCATTTTTAATTTTATGTATGTTCTTGTGATTTCATTTTTTGCATTGCCTGTATGATATTGAGTTACATATTCTTTGAAAGTGAAATTTTGCCTTACATCACATCTGTTTCTTTCCCTCATCATATGTCAAGCTTAATAGGTATATTTAAATGTGAGCCTCCCACACAAGGGGGTATATTGATTTATTAAGTTTTTATAATCTGGTTTTATTTTTAATATCTTTAATAATTTAGCATCAAATTATTCATTTGAAAAAAATTTCTCTACAAATCAAAATAGTGGGGGTATGAATTTTTATTTTCTATGTAGATAATCCCTCAGATTATTTCTGATCTAAAAGATAGCAATGCAGAAATATTTTTTAGGTATTTGGGCTCTTGATTGTCTTGGAGGTAATTGATGGATATTCTTTTATTTTGGTTTCTTAGCAAGGAGAACTCATGAAAATAAAAGGAAATGAAGCGTTTTCCAAAGAGAGATTTGATATGGCTATTATCTATTACACCAGAGCCATTGAATACAGGTAAGAGCAAAATAAAAACAGTGCTCTGTGTGTGTGTGTGTGTGTGTGTGTTAAAGTGTCAGGGATTGAACCCAGGTCAGATGCATACAAGGTAAGTGTCTTACAAACTCTGTTATCTCTCAACCCCTAGCTTTTTTTTTTTTTTGCTAGATAATTTATTTTCTGTTGCTTATTATTAATATCAAGAGATGCACTCCTGGAATTCTAAAATTGTAAATGATTGGTGTCTGGAGACATCTCTGTAGCGAGCTAAGCCATTCTGAGATTCATTTGTGAGTCTCTGGATCAAGGCCATCACTGCGCTTAAATGGCACCTGGAGGCAGTTCGCGGGTGTGACAGCCAGGACCCCGAAGGGGTAACAGGATGGGATGACCCGTCCCCTACCCCATGTGACCTAAAATTCCTCAGTCTCTTGTCCCAGGTACCTGGGATTTTCTTCTGTGAGTTTGTGGCCACTGGAGGTTCTTTGGAGTAGGCGGAGAGAGACTGTAACTCTTCATTTTTAATGCAGGAAGTTTAGGCTATGTGAATAAAATTGGTCAGGAGAAAGTGAAGGACTTGGAAATATAGCCAATTCGAACTCTAAATCCCTCCAAATCCAAATTCTTTCTGGTCTGTCAAACGTAGATTTTTTAAAAGTTTTTATTAGTGAATCACCGTGAGGTACAGTTACAGACTTACAAACTTTCGTGCTTGTGAGAAATGTAAAATTCTTGAAAAGGTGTTTATGGCTCACATTTTCTGTGGGATTGTTTGTTTGATGTGTAATGTGCTTACTGATGACATGTTATTTCTTTTAAAGTCCTGAAAATCACCTCCTTTATGGTAACCGGGCTCTTTGTTTCCTTCGCACTGGACAGTTCAGGTAAGTTGGTTAAAGTTTTCCAGTCACTGACCTAATATATTGAATACTTATTTGGTGGGAAATCTTTGTTTTGCAGGTAATCAAGAAAACACTTAAAATTTCTTTGGCAGTTCAGTTAAATACTGAAAGAGGGCTCTATAGACTATGTACTTACTAGCAGTCACCATTCTGAGTGGATGATGTGTTAGGCATATTTAAGTGCTTTATGTATGCTTTTTAAGTATCATAATACCCATAATTGGTAGGTGGTAATATTTTCCATATTTACGTTTTAACGCTCATACCTTCATTGAGTAGTGATGCCAAGATTTGACACAGATTTTAACTGATGGGACAAATCTGTGTTTTTAACACCTATATTGCCTTCTTTTTCCTCTGTTAACCCATATAGTTCTGGAAGAAATTTTACTGTAGTAAGTTATTAGTGAATCACCGTGAGAAAGATTGTCAACATTGAACCCTCTGGTGTCCCCTTTGCTAAGCAGTTTTAGAATATAAATTGTCAGAATTAATAATATTGAGCACTATATGCTGTTCTGGTTACTTGTGTCCAAAAGAAGGGTTTAGAGTGGCCTCAAGAATACCTCCCACAGCTAGAGCGATAGCACAGTGGATAGGGCGTTTGCCTTGCACGAGGCCAACCCGGGTTCGGTTCCCAGCATCCCATATGGTCCCCTGAGCACTGCCACGAGTAATTCCTGAGTGCATGAGCCAGGAGTAACCCCTGTGCATTGTTGGGTGTGACCCAAAAAGCAAATAAATAAACAAAAGAATATGTCCCACTCAGTAGATTATTAAAACAAGGAGTGGGTGACTCAGGGCTGGAGGTCTTGCTTTGCATCCTGGGGACGCAGGTTAGATCCCTGGCACTACTACTGAGTTGATGCCTCCTCTCCACCCACACACCCAACCCTCAAAAGAAGAAAAAAGAATAAAAAAAAAGACAGTCGGGTAAGGGAAGTAGTTCAAGTGATGCTTGGACTGTCCAAGACCCTCAATCCAACCCACAGGACTGTGTGCTGCTCCTTCCCCTTCTGCCTCACTCTCCTCAGCACTCCTTCTTAAAACCAATAAAAGAAAAAAATAAAATTATCAAGTTCAAGCTAGGAATAAAGCTCTGTCTCTGTGTGTATAGGCATAAGCGAGTGATCCCTCTTGGTTAATATTTGCAGCTGACCTTTCTGTTGTCTAACTTCGAAAGACTTGACGGAATCTGTAGTTCTCACTGTCCAAGAGAAAAGAGATACCATTTGCTCAGATCAAATAGTGTTTTTCCAGGAGAGATTTTTTTTTAAAACATGGTTTATTATTACTTACATGATGGAATAGAGAAGAACTTTCTATTTCTAACACTGTGTTCTGGGCTGGAGCAATAAAATAAGAGTCAAGACAGTTTCTTCCCCCGTATCTAACTCCAGTTCAGTCCCCAACACCCCAAATGGTCCCCGAAACACCACCAGGAGTGTTACTAGAGCGCCACTGGGCATGACCTAAATCAATTTTTTTGATTTAGGTCAGTGTTACCAGAGTTACTCCTGGTTCATGCACTCAGGAATTACTCTTGGTGGTGCTCGGGGGATCATGTGGGATGCTGGGAATCGAACCTAGGTTGGCTGCGTGCAAGGCAAACACCCTACCCGCTGTGCTATTGCTCCAGCCTTCCTAAATCAATTTTTATAGCAAAAAAAGAAAAAAAAACTACAAGTACAGTTTTTGGTTTTTCTCATGAATAAATGCAGAATCGTATTAGTTGTTATCAGAAAGCATACTGGGGAGAGGGAGTGTGGGTGAGGGGAAGGTAGTTTATTCCAGGTATGTAGCTCTTAAAAGTAACACTGTTTTTCTTTTATTATGAACAGAATACATTCTCATGGTAGAAAAATTGGAAAATACAAGAGTTTAAAAAGAAGAAAATTAAAATCACCAGTAATCCAACCACCTCGGAGAATACCGCTGTATTATCGTTATGCAGCTGTTAGAGGCTTAAGCTGTGGATTAACCCAGGTTATCTAGTCTAGAGGAATGGATGGGCGATACAGTCTTCCATCAGTACCATTGGCCATCTGGTTCCGACAAATGAGTCGCAAATATGCATAGATTATTACCTTTGGCTAAGTTCAGAGTTGCCATTTCTTAACATGGTTTGAGGTGAATCTGTATGCTTCCAAGACGGTCGGTTGGCAACTTAGCTAAGGAAGCATCTGTCTAAAACCCTAATGGGTCAGAATTAGGATACCCCAATGCAGAATGCAGAATGTGACACTCTGCATAGGAGAGACCAGACAGCTGAGAGGCAAACCAGGGTTTTCTGCTATTGATCAAGAGTTTTGCCCTCTAGACACAGTAAAGTAAAACTTTACTGCCAAGGAGGTGCTTTAGAGTGGAAACGAGGTAGCTTGGTGAAGTCAAGGCCAAAAGTTTGGCCAGGCATCTAGCCTCATCACTCTACCTGACAGGCTAGATTTCCATGTTAGATAATTTCCCAGCTCACATGGATACTAGTTTTAATGTTACAAAAATCATGCCTCAGTGGTTTTGTTTTTTGCACATTGTTTGACTTGCTCAGTGATAGAGGAATACTACTTTTTCAACCCGCATACATAGAATCCCTGATCAGGTGAGCAAACCTTAGAAGTTGCCAATAGGGGCTGGAGCGATAGTACAGCATATTGGGCATTTGCCTTGCACATGACCCACCTGGGTTTGATCCCTGGCGTCCCATGTGGTACTTTCTGAGCACAGAGCAGGGATAACTCCTGTGCATCACTGGGTGTGATCCAAAAGTAAAAAAATAAATAAAATTAAAATTAAAAAAATACAGTAAAGTTGCCAGGAGCTCAAAAATACCACTGAGGAGGACCTTTCTAGATAAGCAGAGAGGACTGTTCTAGATGAGGAGAGATGTTCTGAGCTCTGCATCATCAGAGGTTGGCAGACCTTGCATGGGACGCTGGCTGAGCACTGTAGGGACTGCTGGGGCCACCCAGCCTCCAGGCTTCCTGTGTTCGTGCAAGGGTGCTCTCTCATACTTGTTCCACACGGTTAGACTTTCCAGCTGAAAAACAAGGGATAAAAAGTTCAAAGATAACAGTGTGAAATTCCAGGTAATACTAGGAAAGAGGAACTAAAGAAATAAAGCCTTGATTACAGAACTTCTGAAATAATTCTAAAAAATTAGCATAAATTGCAGCATTCAGCATTCTGTTAAAATACACTTTTGTCAATATTAGTATCTAAAAGGGTAAATCTACGCTCAAATACAACTTGACTAACACTTTCCGAACTTTCATGTTGTAAACATTCAACCTTGTGAAGTAGGTGTGAGAGTTGCTTGACAGGTGAAAAACTGAGTTCTGGCAAGCCAGACTCCAAGCTGTGTGTTACAGCCAGATTTTTTTCCTCAGCCAAAATTTGAACGTAGGTGGCCCGAGTGCAGTGTCTCTGGGATTCGGCACCATGGAAGGGTGATGGGTGTGATGCAAAGCAATGTGAACGTGAAAAATGCTTAAAACCGGTGGTCCACATGGTCAATAAACACAATTATCCTTCCAGAACAATGCAGATTAATCCTATGTATCTCTTCAGATTGGCAAACATTTAAAAACTTCGTAATACCATGTGTTTGAGAGGATGTGGAACAAAGGAAACTTTTCATACTCTGCTGGCGCAAGTGTAAATTTGGTGCAGTCACTTGGAGAGCCGTTTGGCAAAGTGAAGATGTGCGTGACCCGCAGCCACCTCTAGGCGCTCAGCGGCCAGTCGCAAACGGGTACCCAGGAAGCTGTGTGTGAGCCTTTGCTGTAGCATTTGTGTGTAAGAGTAAAACAACGGAAGCAACTAAATGTCCATCAGCAGGGGAATGGATAAACAAATGATGGTATATTCATACAATGGAATTCTATGCAACAGTTAATATGTGGTGTGCGTGACAAAGCAAGTTGCACAATGACTTTGTATGGTATGATGCCATGATAAATTCAGAAAGTTGTGTAATGTTCTAAGTATGCAAAATGATATATGCCGTATCCATCATTCCTGCATAGTATATGTTAAAAATGTTTCTCAGATGCATGGTCCTCTGAAACTCCAGGGGCGTGGCTGTCTCTGGGAAGGAAAGGCGAGAAGCGGCCTGGAGATGGGAAGGCGGGTACCCAACCGAAGGCGATGCCAACCGTGACGCCCTTCTGCAGAGACTGGAACTCAATGCCGAGCTCTTGCTAAGCTGGCGCCCGCTTCTTCGTTCAGATCATGTTTTTCTCTGTACTTTTATGTATCCTTGAAGTATTTGGTGGAAAGCAACAAGAAGTATAATTTAAAAGGCACATGATGGGGCTGGAGCGATATCACAGCGGGTAGGGCCGTTTGCCTTGCACGCGGCTGACCCGGGTTCAATTCCCAGCATCTCATATGGTTCCCCAAGCAACGCCAGGAGCAACACCTGTGCATCACTGGGTGAGACCCAAAAAAGAAAAAAGTCAAAGGCACATGATGAGGGGAAGAGAAGGGCCACCCCAATTATCAAAGATAAAAATCAGTGAAAGATAATCTCGAAAGGAGAGAAATGAACAGTGTTTTGAGACGAGTAATGAAGGAATCCCTAAGTAGCAGATGACACTGGCAGCTCGGTGCTTCATTCGGAGATGGTCAATGGGGTGACAAGGTTGGTTTTTAATGCCACATTGTCACATAGTCAGTAAATCAGAACACCTCTCCCCCGTCCCACTGTTAGCCAGAGATAAACACTTCCAGAGGTCCCGTCCTGCCACCACCCCTTAGGCGGGCTTGGGGAAGAGCACCTCTTTAGTCTGTCTTCTGGGAGTTCATTTGCCAATTGCACTTTGGAAGTAGCAAGGCATTTTAGAGCAAGAGTAGTTCGAAAATTTCTGTTTAGAGGAGAATGTAGGAAAAAGGGATCAGGCATATCTAGCTTTTTTTTTTTTAATAGGCAATGTATTTGGTTAGTCTTTGTTTAACATGTTTTTTTTTTTGTGGAACTCATA